TCTTTTCTTTCCTCGCGTAGAATGAGATTTCAGATGGAGTTAAAGATCTTAAAAATTCAGTTGAACTTTATCTGTTCTCGTAAATTTAGAGTTTTGTTTCGTGACATCTTTAAGTCAATGAGAAGGGTTCAAGAGAGCGAATAATGTTGCAACTCTTGAGAATACCTGGGCCTAGAGATAGGCGTAAATCATTCCCCCCACTTTTTTTTTGTGAATGAATTGAGCGTCATGCCGGAGGGTCGTACGTGGAAGTCTCCGCCTACCTGATCGAGAAGAGTTTCAACAAAATTCTATAAATGCTATGGATAAGGAGAAGTCTTTAAGGAGGGTAGCTGAGGAGGTATGAGGAACATTGTGAATAACCAACTAATTGACGCATGATGAAGTACAGGTACCCTGACAGCGAAGTCGGAGTGCTTGGATTTTGTAGTTCAGATTAGGGTCGCAAAACACTAGGGAATTTTCGATCTTCGTGTACGTATCAAAACGGAGAGATGTAACAGCTGATGAGAAATGAACCGTAGCTACTGGATGTAGGCGGTGCAGGTGTACTGCGTGTTGGTGCCGCGCACAGGCGTGCCACGCTCGGTGATGCATCTCGAGTTGTAGGAAGTGTCGTGTGTAGTGTGCCGCATGTAACGTGCCGCGTTACCGCATGCCAGGCCAGCCATTCATGTCATAGCTTCCAAGTCTCTAACGTGTAAATACGTATCAAGTCCGGGAAATTTTCACGTGTATTGCATTGATCTAAGTCTTCCTTGGAGGACTAAAGAAGTGAGGCAACTTTAGATGTTTTACCTTTAAGAATCGTTGTACTCGATTCATTGTTATGACCACGCGAAGTGAGGAGCTTGTGGTAAGAAAAGAGGCTGCGGTCAGGCTATATCAGTTCTATTATGATCCTCGACCAAGTTGATGACTTAGCCTGATGATTGGCTGCACCGCTAGGAGTTTCGAGGATGCATGACACGTTATATCTCTCATGATAGAGGAACGTGTGCGTGACCTCGAGGTATGTTTGTCTTGTGATGAGCTGTGTGTTAGGCAGAACCCTATCTGTATGGAGGTACCGGTAACCTGTTGGGCCTGAGGGTCCATCAGGGAAAGGCCGGGAGGGGTACTCATCAAAGTCCAATAATGGTAGTCGAGTCGAGGGCGATACGACTTGGGAGAGAGAGTAACCGCGAATCGGAGGGAGTACCAAATATCCTGTTTTGATATCCCCTTTGCATTCTAGTGCTTTCTAGGTTTTTATTTTCGAATTCCGAGTACGGAATTCTTTGTAAGGTGGATAGACTGTAATACCCCGTTTTATTGTGGATTATTTGGGAATAATTATTAATTATTGCTATTATTAATTGTCTTTATTATTATTATTATT